GGACCACCTGTAAATAAGTAAAATATAAATGTGACTGCTTAAACTAGTATTATTAACTCCTGTGTATGATGATTTTAGTTTTGTATACAGCTTTTATGCTAATTTGAAGGTTCTATTATAATTTCAGTCCAAACCAGATGTTCAGTTTGTACAAAGTCCTGATCAGGAAAACCAAGATTTGAAAGCATCATCACTAGCCAAGACATCTTGTAAGTTACCAGAAAAAATGTGGGGACTATAACAGAAGTAATTGTGGATAGTAAAAATATGTTTTCTATGCATTTATGAAAATGGTGTGTTTTTTAAATTAAAAATTAAGCTTTCTTATCACCTTTTAATTGGTTTTCTATACTGATGATAAGAAACTATAGAATTGAACATCAGATAAACTCAGTATAATGACTAGAAACTCCATTATTTACACAAAAGTGAAAACTCGCTATATCTGTGGCATGAATGAGTTTCTACCCCTCCAGAGTTCTGCTGGTAATTTACAAAGGCATTCATGCAAGGATGTCAGTACTTCCTCAAGAAGAATTCCTTAGTGTAGAAATACTGGTTAAACATGTAGATGCCTTCCTAAATGTCACTAGTAAGACTTCAGAACAACTTTTATAGTATAGCAACTGAAGCATATTTTTAAATGAACAATAGTTGCCTTAGTGGCTGAACTCCAACAACACATAGCATGCTCATAAAAATGTAAACATGCACATCTTTTTAGATGCTGTTTTCTTCCAGGATTTTCTTATAGAGAAAGACAAACCAACTTTTTAGTTTTATCTGATTAAAGAAACAGCTTATAATGTTTAGCACAAAGATTTTTCTGGAAGAAATAAATCTGGACAATTACTAACAGTAATATTTACAACTTGAAAAACATGCATAGGATCAAACATTTGAGTGTGCATATACACTTGTCATATTTTTCCTTCATTTTTAAAAAGCATAAAGATGCAAAATGTATGGGGGGGAAAGTTATAGTTTAAAAAAAACAAAAGCACAGTTTTATAATTTAGAGTAAACACACGTGGGTGGATCATATTTTGAAATATGTCATTCCATTTTTTTCACGCAAAGTGAACTGAACTTGGTTGATTCTAACAAAATTATGTGAGATGCAGTGGTAATTCTCATATTTCCCTGTACTAATCCATTGATTTCAGTGCTTCTGCTTTCCAATATCATACTATGTATGGGCGTGTCAGTGTGTAAGCCACTGACAATCTGGCTAATGTAATGTTCCACAATTAATTTGCTTATATAGCCTGTAACTATTTTGTTGCACTCTTTTGAAAGTTAACAAGATCATATCTAAAACATCTACAATACATTATAAAAATTACCATACGAATCACTGAGAATAAAAAGCAGTCATAGCAATAATACTTTTAACTAATTATATTGAATCATGCCAACATATTGATGGATGTATTCAAGCTGCAAATGCTCTATGAAAATATTTCATATAGGGTATAATAAAAGTTTTCTTTGGTATTTGATACCCTCTGTTTATTTAACTTTTTGTTAAACTTTCTTTAATTTATTATTCCAGAATAATTTAACACATAGACTGAAAAGTGCAAAGGTTTGCTTTATATACCTATGATTTCATGATTAAAAGCTCAACAAAGTTTTACTATGATTTTTTTTTCAGTAGATTTACAGTTGGGAGGTCCACATGCACATAAAGGATCTTTTGATGAGGATGAAACTGAGAGTTTCTTCAAATGTATTTCACTGTATGTATTTTTAGTATATGGAGTAACAGAGGAGCAGTGTCTTTAGTTACCTACATTTAATTAGTTGAAGTTGATTAACTAACACCATCGTGTTTTGTCTTCTATTTAATGATTCTTGACTAAACCTTTAGCAAATTAGCATGTGATTATTTATGCTATATCCAGTTCTGTAAAAGTAGAAAGCTGTATCATTTTTCCCTTCTCAACTGACATTCTTTATTTTTCACTGAATACTTTCAAATCTAAGCTGTTCTATACTATTCTCTTAAGTGATATCAAATTGAAGTAAAGCTGCATATAATGTTGCTGGCTAAATGGAATATGAGAGATGCTAACATGTCTATTATATTAATGAGAAATAATTTTGATGGTTTATTTTAGTTATGGGTGTTAGCTATGGAGCAAAGCATGATTTGACATCCTAGCTTGTCTCAAGCATTCCTACTTCAGATGAAATAGAAATTTATGATTGACTAAAGTTTTCTGAAATTGTTTCAGTCACAATGATGATGAGGAAAGACGTACTACATACAGGGACAAATTAGACTATTGATGGATAAGATCTGAGTGGACATTATTTTCAGTCACAAAAATGCTTTTTCTTTTCCAACAAGAAGTGAGGCATTACTAGCTAGCCTTTGAATTTTTTCCTCCCCTACTTTTATTCCTCCAAAAGTTGTGGATTGGACAACAATTTGTCTGAAATGGTATAGGGTTTCCTGCTTGAGCAGGGCATTGGTCTAGAAGACCTCCAAGGTCCCTTCCAATTCTGTTATTCTTTGGAGTTGGGTGGGTTAGAAAATAAGTGTGTAAAACCTCCTCTGCCTTTTTTCTAAATGAACAGTTATGCCAATTAGTGTCTGGGTTTATGTTGGCTGTAATCATTCCTTACTTAAAACAGAAGTTCTTTGAAAATCCTAAATTTTCAAATATAGTAATAATCTTCTGAAATTACATTCAAGTTGTTGGGTTTAATTGTGTAGGAGCAAATTAGTTTTCAGACAGGGAAATAATGTATGGAAAATATTTTCAATAAACCTCCAATTGTTTTAGGAATATTCTGTTTCCTTGCTTTCTAGAAATTCTGGGTGGATATTAACAACCACTCTTCTCCTGTCTATACTTGTGTTGCTGTGGATTTGTTGTGCAACTGTTACTACTGCTGTTGAACAGTATGTTCCATCTGAGGTAAATTATCACTTTATTTTTATTTTATGCTAAGGCTTTCATTCAGGTTCTTTCTGATGGAAATATGTGATCAAATAAACCTCTTGTTAGGGTTTATAAATAACGCAACATTGTTCATAAATACAGTTATTCCTGTCATAGAATAAGCATGCAATTTTAATATCTATTTGATCTGTAAAAAATATTAGGAAAGGGGCTTCATCAAGTGCCCCTTGGAATCCATTGGTGAAAGCACAATGATCTCTCAGAGGCTTATGGCCATCTCAGGGTCCTCCACATATCCTGGCATACATGTATCCCCATAGATAATAGTTCTGCTATGAAAGCTGCAATTGAATGGCCCGTTTTAAGCACATTTTGTTTTCTTTTTCTAGAAGCTGAGCATCTATGGCGACTTGGAGTATATAAATGAACAAAAATTGAATCAATATCCAACCTCTGCTCTTGTGATAGTAAAATGTAAAGCTGAGGAACAAGAAGCGGGACCTCTGCCTACAAAAGTTAACTTAACTCAGTCTGCAATATAAAATGGAAAAAACAGATTTATTAATCTAATTCTTAGACTTCTGTTAATTCTGGTAGCTTTTTAAAACTGAAGAGGCCTTGGGATATAAGTTAGCTAGTATTTAGATTCAAACAAAATTGCAAAATCAAAGGAGAATGGAATTCCGCCTCTTTCAGCAGTCAAGCAAATCACATTGGGTACAAGGAGTTTGTAGTGCATTTACACTTGTCTGTTTTCTTGGAATACTAAAAGTCCTAAGTATTTGTCTATGCATTGACATTTGTATATTATGAACATATGTCACAAAATATATTTGGAATCTGTTTTAAAAAGTGTAATAAGTTTTTGGTAGTCAAAGGCACTTTAAGTTCTCTTAGCTGTGGATAAATTAAATGACTGTAGTATAGCTTGCAAACTCTACCATTTCAAACATCTCTTTTTCCACAATTAAAAATAAATTTTGTTTAACCTTATGCCTGTTTCCTCTGCTGAAATAATTGTGGGTCAGAAATAAACTTTAATAAATCCCTCTACATATTAGAGTATTACTTTTGCATTGCATTCCATAACAAGCCTTATGAAATTAGACAGCATTCTCTATATGAAAGTTCTTTTTCAGTTTGTCATCTTAGGTTGATGGTGCCACTCTTCAAAAACAAGAAGAATATGACTAGAAATTTTGTACTATTTGGCTTCATCTATGCAATATTTACCATGAACTTAATGGACTCATAAGTAGACCATGATTTTCCTATAGCTCTTTCAAAAGTTCTTACCTATCCATGTTTAATGTTCTAGAAAATGGAATTGAAAGCAATTGCTTTTAAAATTGAATTTGAAACATTAATGCATGTTACAGTGGAAATTTGTTTACTGTTAAAAAGAAGGCTCTAAAATCTTTGTTCCACGTTAATAGAGTATTTTGGAAAAACACCCCTGAATATTGTCTCTAGAATGTTTTTAAAAGACAAATATTACTCTTCTAAGCACTAACTCTTGGGATACATAAGTTCTATATCAATTGTTTTGATTTTTACTTCCAGGCATTAATTAAATTGTACTAACTACTTCAACTAGAATTGCTTTACATTATTTTTGAATTCCAACTCTTTATGATGTTTCTGTCTCAAATTAAGCACAGATCTAAGCCTAAACCCAGGTTGCATTAAATAAATTGAAATATATCTTTGTAGGTTGAGAGAAAGTTGTGCATTCTCTGTTGGAGGCTCTTCAATATATTGCTATGGATTCTTTGTTCAGTATGAGAAACATGAACAAAATCATACTCGTCATTCTATGATAAAATCATTAAAAGAGCCAGTAGTTCAGTTTTTATAATATTCAGCTTTTCTTTCTTCAGTAGGCAAAGCCTACTTTAATATTATTATACAAAACTTAAGGTTCTGCTCTGAGAACAATTCTGACAACATAAATCAAAGGGGATTTTTTTCCCCTTTATGCTTACTTCCGTTTTCTTCAATATGATGGAGATGAAGTCCTACGTAAAAGAAGAAAAGAGTCATTCTCTTTTGTTCTTCTGTTTCTCTTAGTAACCAGGTAACCCAACCCCAGGTATGTAATCAACACACCACTTAATAAAAGCTAGCTCCTCTTTCTGTCTTGAGTAGCAACACCATTTTAATACTGATGATTGAATGACCAGAACAATTTTCTTGTCAGTATAATCCTGTTCGGCTTCAAGAAGGAAAATGAATAGAACTTACCCTCAGGTAATCAGCCATCCCTTTAGGATAATTATAATTTCCCTTATTGGATTAAAATAATTTTTGTTTTTTATAAACAAATTACAAATGCTTGAATATCGTGTGCAGTTACTTTAGTAACAGGAAATTGAATTAAATATAATTGAATATATCATTCTCCAAATATGCATAATGATATATGATGTAGTATTTTTAAATTTATTTCAGTTATTTTTCTTGCATCCCTCGAGGTTACTTAGAGATTTTCTCCAATTTTATCCCAGCAATAATACCCTGTGTAATGATCCCAATGTGGTGCAATGTGCTTCATGGTTGTGCATCTCCAGAGCTGAACTTGGCCTCCTGGTCCAAATCTACTGCTTTAACTGATGTAGCTACTAAAGTAGTTACTTGCTTTAAAGTTCTTGGCTCAACATTTATTTTATTTTTATTAATTATAGAATTTTGATACGGATTCACTCGGTTCAGCCAAATCCCATCTCACTGATAAGACAGGTAAAAAGTTCTGAATACTTAGTGATAAAATACTAGATGCTTAAGACATATGTTGAAATGTTTTTTCGGGAGAGAGTAGAAAATATAATCATAGCACACCAATACACATATAGTTAATATTGCCATATGAAATCTTTATGGTTTTGAATTAGAAAATTGTTAACAGTGTATAATTATGTTAGAAATAGAAAATGCTACCCATTCAAAAATGACTTTACATAGGTTACAAGTAGGAAATGTATATTATGAAACTTGGAACAGAGATAGCATTACCTAAATCCATATTAAACATTAATAACATTTGTGTATTTTAACTATAACCATTACTACATTTTCCAATATACTAGAATAGTGGATGGATGGACGGAAAACAGGAAAATGGAAAACAGGATAGTATTTTTAAATCATTATTATTCATCTACTTTTACTTCTTCCTGTGCATACATTCCCAGTCCTACTAGCTGGGGATTCTGTGAGTGATAGTCCAAAACAACTAGAAGACATGAAATTGTACAAGGATATACTAGCATTTTACAACTTTTGAGTAAAAGACTTTGTAAAATTTCAGGATAGATTCATAGCATCATAAAAGAATAACAGTTGTTATTTTATTTAGTTTTTCTAAAGCATTTATAAGGACACTCTGCTCACACAAGGCATACAAAAGGGGAAAAATCATAACCAACAAATACAAAAGGGGCAAATATAATTAAAAGCTAATAAAAAGAAAAAGAGGTGATTGGGGCAGAAGTATACTATAATTCCTCACACTGGTCCCTCAAACAGAGAAAGAAGCAGGTCTTCCGTGTCTTTCTAAATGTCTATAGGATTGTATGTATTAGCGTACAATTAGCGTCCATATCTACGCTAGTTGAAAGAAATAGAAACATGCACTTGAGAAGGAAATGGGAAAAATAAATGACATGATTTTCCTTTGAAATAGCATCAATGGAAGGATCTGATATCACTCATCAGTACAGATTAACAATAGAAATATTGAGAAATTTGTTCTCTGTTAAGTTACTTAAAGATTGCAAAAGTAAAACCCAAATGTGATAAATATACTTCTCTTGGGCTTGGAATCCTGTTTATTTTCTCAGTTTTCTTGTAGTGTTCACTGAACAAGAGGCATAGCTTGGAACACACACTTTACTTGCAGAAGATTCAAATTTAGTCTTCAGCCTGTCCATCTAGGAAAGAATATTACAAACAGGAGGTTTCATAAAAAATATCTTCCAAACGACTAAATAAGGACCTTAAATTTCTAAAATAAATGATGCAAAAGACAAATGTATTTGTTTATTAAATGTTACCATATAATTTGATGAAGACCAATTTGGAGTTCCTGCTGGACAAAATAGTCTTTGTGTTCCATGGCATTAGGGCAACAGGAAGTCCTATTAGATGAGTGTTTCAATTTCAGCAACTTTTAAGATGTGTGGGCTTCAATTCCTCGAATTTCCCAGCCAGCGTGAAGTCCACACATCTTAAAGTTCCTGAAAGTGAGAAGCATTGCATTAGATTTTGCTTTAAAGAGATTTGGAGAAATGAAAATATTACAAAATTCATGCAGCTATACAGGCTTTATTTTTAACGTGAATAGATCCTATGGTCCATGACAAGAGCAAAGACTTTTAAGCATATAAATATTTTATATTAAGGAAAAAGTAAAGTCTCCTGTATATCAGGATCAGATGATGGATGACTTCTCTGTTGTTTTCCTGACAATGATGCAGAAGCGCTTTGACACTTAACATCTTCAGGAAGTTCTTTCTTTTACTTTTACATCAAGATACAGCCCTGGCATTCCTAGTAACCTCCCTTGCAGATTCCAATCAGGTACAAGTTGCTTACATTTTTGTGATCTGCCACAGTCAGGCAAGCACTGTTTACTAAATGGAGTAAAATGCAATGATGCTTAGAATCCATGTATTCTCCCCATGCCACTCTGATGGTCCTCTGTAGGTCTTTTAGAAAGAAATTAATTGATTGGAGCTGGCAGAAGCCAATATGCGCATGAATTCTGCAATAGTTTTCTTTCAATAGCAGGTACCACTCATGACCAACCAGACTGCTGTAGAAAGTGTTTTTCTTGGACCCTTTGCACTCGACGATGCATCTGTGTATCTGCCATTAGTCTTATTATACTTGGTATAATCATTGCCATCATCACATTGGCTGTGACTGTCGGCATTCCTCCTCCTACCCCAGGTCAGTTATTTCCAGATTTCAGTTTTAATCTGACCTAGACATCAACACCACAGGAAGAATAGTCATGGCTCTTTCAGTATGTCGGATGGCGAGAGTGTTGTCTGAAATATCTGACAACAGTTAGAAAAGAGTTAGAAAAAAGGAGACCTTGTTTGTTTATCAATATAATTAGCAATGGACATTTTTAAAGCATAAGGTTTAAATATGTAATTGATAACCACTTCAGAGGGACTCATATGCTTTCCCTGTTCTTTGTAAAGTTTCGCTGTGAGGAAAATATCTATTGCTTGGAACATTTACTTCGGGGTGGTTTGTTTTTTTTAATTTATTATTATAAGTATCTTCCATAAACAGCTGTCTATGAATTGATTCAGATATTCTGATCTTGAAACCGCGTTGCCATGGTTGCAGCTAGGTGCTAGAAATGACTATTCTAGCCTTATGACCTAGCATAAGGAAGTCTCTTTTGAGTCACTGTTGACTTTCAAACATAACTGTGCAGTTTTCCTGGCAATAGGATGAACATGTTTTGTCACTGCCATCTTTTAGTGCTTCCTAGTCTAACAAACCAGACCTGATCATGTTTAATTTCTGGGCAAAACTAAGTCAGCCAGCTACTACTATCTGTACTCAGGTAAATCAAAATACAACCCATAAATGAATCACTTGATCACCTCTTTCTCTGTCCAACTGAGCATGGCAACATTCTTATGGTGGATTTAGACTAAACTAGGTCCAATATATCTAGAGAAGCTAAATGATACATCTAAAGAATTATTATTTCCCTCTTGATAAAAATGCATCTATTTCTTTAAAAAAACTAATTTTATGGAATATCATATTTACATTATGCAGGACAGCATGTCACTATCATAAGCAGAGAACATAGTGCAGCCTCAATTTATTATCCTTGTCCCACTCCATCCTTCATTTACCCATTTAAGTTGGAAGGTCTAAAATGAGATTATAAGGTTATTCAGCTGGATGTAGTTGCAACCTTCAGATTTCCCTGCTCAGACTGGGAAGACCAGGGTGTAGGTGGCAGAGCCACCTTACATAACACTTCTATGCTTATACACACTGCAATAGAGTATAGAAGGAACTTCTTAAATGAGAGATAGGCAAACCTTTTAATTGTATGTCAGCTATATAATTATAGAAACTGCTTTCTTGAATCAGATACTGTAACACCCATAATATACCATGTTTTCCCGAAAGTAAGGCCTGCCCCCAAAATAAACCCTAGATTTTTTGGGGGGTGGGTCTAATATAAGCCCTACCCCCAAAATAAGCCCCACTTAAAAATCAAGCTAGGGCAGGGGTGTGGATCTGCCCCACGTGCCCCGCACCCACTTACCTTGCAGATAGGTCTCTCCTTGCTGGCCCACTTTTTCTGCGGTGTCTTCTGCAGCCAGGCCTACATTTCTCAGTCACAGGCCTTTGGTTCTGCAAGAGCTCTGCAGTTATTAGGTCCAGAGTTGATAGAGATTTGGCGGGCTGGAGAGCTGGGGAGAAAGCCCAGCTTCAAGTTAATTGGGGAATGTGATTTATGACTGTTAATTGGAGGAGGGAATTGTGCTTTGCTACTTTGTGCCAGGGGAGGGGAATTCAGTTTTTGGCTTCAACTATGTAGTGCTGATATTTTGTTTCTCGAATAAAAGATTCTTTAAGGAAAACAAGGCCTCGAAGTTCTTTTGAAGAGATTCATCTGTCGGAACCATGACACACAGTAGTTGATAATTGGCCAGCATTTAGCTAAATGAGTGTTAATAACTCCACTTTGATATACCCTGTCAGTCTGCAATTCACATTAAATTCCATACCTTTTGAAGATGAATTTGACTGCCTCTAAGAGGTACATGATCTAATAAAATTAATCTTGCAGCTGTCAAAACACTGAGTGCTCAATGCTTTGTAGGATGCATATGAAATCATGCATATGTATCTAACTTTTTTTCAAGTAAACCCAATTCTCCTTTGCTTTTACCATGATATAATTAACATGATACCTGTTACAACATTGTATAATTGATTTTTT